CAAACTGATTTCTTATCCAAAGCAGCCTTAATATCGTCTAAGACTTTCAGACTGGCAGTCACAGTACTGTGCTTTGATCTGAATCCAGATTGCATAGGGTTAAGGATGTTGTGTGAATTTAAAAAAACGTTTTAGCTGAGTAGAAACTAGGGACTCAAGAATCTTTGATAACACAGAAAGATTTGAGATAGGACAATAGTTATTCAACTCAGTGGGATCACCAGCTTTCAAGAGGGGCGATACAAGAGCTTGCTTCCACACAGCTGGCAGTGTGTGAGTGGACAGGGAGAGATTACAAATATCAGTAACTGGTTGAGCTATCATCTGAGCTGCAATTTTTAAAAAGAAAGGATCGAGGCCGTCAGGCCCGGCAGACCTTTTAGGATCAATTGAGTGCAAACCGTATAAGACTTCAGAGACCGAGAAAGAAGCGAAATCAAAAACAGGGGAGTTCAACTCTTGACTATGGCTGTGAGTGCGACCATGCAGAGAGTCATGACTTTGCTCATCAAAAATGTGACCAGCCTTTTTGAAGTGAGCATTAAAGGCATTAGATATATCATTTGTATCTGAAATAAAAGAATCACTGACCTTCAGTTTTTGAGGGAAACTAGAAACCTTCTTGTTCTGAAGTGATTTAATTGTTTTCCAGAACTTAGAATGGTCATTAAAACAATCAGTGGTTAAGCTCAGATAGTAATCAGCTTTAGCTTTTTTTAATAAGGGCTGAACATTTATTTCTGAGGACACGAAAAAGAAGCCAGTCATCACTAGTGTTAGACTTTCTAGCTAAAGACCATTGCTTATTTCGATCATGAATTAGATCAGATAGTTCTCTAGTAAACCATGGAGTGTTCCTATTCTTAACTCTGAATTTTCTAAGGGGGGCATGTCTATTAATAATCGATAAAAAGTGATCAATAAAGAATTGGACCGCAACATCGACAGATGGAGTTAATGCTGTGAAGTGCCATTTAACCTCCGCCAGATCGTGTAGGAAAGCCTGCTCAGAGAAGTGTTTGAAGCAGCGCCTGAGCACAATAAGGCCCTTGGCAACTTAGTGCTCCTAACGCAAGCAATAGTGCAATGGTCACTGATATCATTAGGAAAAACACCAACAGACACATACTTATGAGCTGCATTTGTTAGAATGACATCTATAAGGGTATCGTTATTGGGTTTGGCAGGGTTTATTCTAGTGGGACTATCAATAAGCTGAGTTAAGTTCAAAGAATCACAAACCTGCTTAAACTGTGAAGATTTATCACTCAGCCAGTCCCAATTTAAATCACCCAATAATATGATTTCAGAAGAAAACTTAGACAACAATTCAGTAAGGCTAGTAGTTGCATCCATGATGGCCGATAGAGGCCTATAACAGCCAATAACAGTGAGAGGAGCATTTGCTATAGTTATTTGGACTGCTAGCAACTCAAATTGCCTTGGAATTGAAATTGAGTGAAGGACAGAGCACTGTAGTTTCTCAGCAGTGTATATTGCAACACCACCAGCTCTGCCCTTACGATCCGTTCCGAATACATTATATCCATCAATGTGAATAACAGTGTCAGTGACAGACGGTTTATGTGCTAGTTATTAAGATATTTTATAAATGTAATTTCTTTATTTAAATAAGGTCACTATCTTTCCATATATAGCAGCGGCCTGACGAAGATTTGCTTAAAATTAAAAGATAGTGAACCTGATGACGGAATTTCTAATAACTTGTAAAATTATGCACAAGACATACAGTAGTATTTGTAGATACAGCTATAAATACACAGTCATAAAGATTCAATATAGTGTGAAATAGATGATTTGGCAATCTCAAAGCCACTTAAAGGAATAAATGATGTAATTGTTCCTAAACATGGCCCCCCATTTACTCCAATTAATAAAAAAAATGTCATTCTTAGTTAACTGTCAAAGCATGTGAGAAAAAAGAAAAAAAAATTCTTCAGCAATTGGAAGTAACACAGGGTGAGTAATTTCGTTAAGTATTCCATTAAGCGGAAATAAAAATGATTATAAATGGCCTCATTTTATAAAATAAAAAACAATGATTTTGTGTGAGAGCTCTGGATTGAACAGTAGCTACAGTAACAGATTGGTGTAGTCAGCACACAAAGGTCGAGTCTTGGCATATACAACATGGAGGCGCGGGGGACTAAACAGTGCACCCTTGTGCGCTGCTCTTTCACTGCCCTTGCTGTGGCCTCTAACTATCTCTCACACACACTCACACACACACACACACACACACACACACACACACACACACACACACACACACACACACACACACACACACACACACACACACACACACACACACACACACACACACACACACACACACACACACACACACACACACACACACACACACACACACACACACACACACACACACACACACACACACACACACACACACACACACACACACACACACACACACACACACTGGGTGCAAACTTTTACACCAAGTACACCGGCACAGTGGAATAAGTGACGCTCAGAAGTGTTTGGGAATGTTGAAGCTATAATCAGGACAAGGTTCTTTGTTCCTTCTTTCTTTCTTTCTTTTTCCTCCCTCCCTCCCTTTCTCCTCTTTGGAGAGTTGCCTAATGCAACAGCTGCCACGAGCTGTGTGGCTGAAGATGATTGGATTTATCCTGGAGAGAGTTCACTGTGGGCCAGGTGCTGCCGTGGGAATCCTTCTCGGGAGGAAAATCTCCCTTTCACAAATCCTCATGTGGTCATCAGTCTGTGAACTGCAGGAGCCACTTCACTGACTGCAGGACATGTGTTTCTTTCCAGGCACATTCAAAAGTGATACAAATGTTGTTTTGACAAGAAAATGGTTCAAATGTTTGTTGAGATAAGCTTATCTGCTTTCTTCTGAGAGTTAGACTAAAATATCAATATCTCACATAATGTACCTATACAATGAATATGAAGCTATTGCTAGCAGCCACTTAACTTAGCTTAGCACACAGACTGGAAACAGCAGAGCAGGCGGCCGGTTAGCATAGCCTAGCAACTCATACTACAAAACTATCAGTTTTTCAGATATTTATGTACAATGCTTTGGTTTATCACTTACATTTACAACGCAATACATGTGCAGAAACGTAGACATGGGACATATAAAAATGTTACACTAATAAATTAGTAACTGGAGCTGTCAACCAAATGAAGTGGAGCAGAAGTAAATTGCTAACAAATGAAAATACTCAAGTAAAGTAAGTACTAGTACTTGTGGACAGCAAAACTGCCTCAACAAGTCTGGAATCAAACACTAGAGGGAGATATTGCAGCAGGAGTTTCAGTCTCACTGATGCGTGAATTCATCCTATCATTCTGTAAAGATGGTTTAATGTACTGTGTCATGCATATTATAACAAATTAAAATTGTTCACTAATGCCTGACATTTCTGTAGCGTAGGTGTTATCCCTGAACGAATACATTTAATTTGGACGCCAGACAGAGGAATATTTAATATAGCCAGCTGTCAAAAAATGATATGCTTAAACACGCAGAAACAGAGGGATAGCCCGGTGACCTAGCTCCTGAAGTTTGCAAAGGAAAAAATAATAATCAACCAATTCACTTTCAACATAAAATGTCTGTATTTTTTAACCCCAAATAATAATCAGTACATTAAACAAACAACTCATGTCACAGACCATTTACCAGACAAACTTAAATCCAGTAGATACAAAAACACAAACAAATAAGTCACATTAACTCTCCCAATTGAGAAATCAAGAAAATATTCGGTAGATTAACTGATAATAAAAGTAATTGTTAGCTGCTTCCCAAAGGGAAATGTTGAACTGTAAGTGTTTAAATGTTATATGACAGATTAAAGAATCACTTGATGTCTTCCATATGATATGGACTCACAGTAAAACCATCAGTAAGGCAAGGCAAGGCAAGGCAAGTTTATTTATATAGCACCTTTCAACACATGGCCATTCAAAGTGCTTTACAACAATGAAAGACATTAAGAAAATGGCATTTAAAAACAGTCATTAAAAAGCAAAGATAATAAAATAAACATTAAAAGAAAAAATACATGAATGAAAGTTACAGTGCAGTTTAAGATATGAATAGTTCAATTAAAAGCAGCGGCAAAAAGAAAAGTCTTCAGCCTGGATTTAAAAGTAGTCAGAGTTGCAGTACAGCTTCTCATCCTGCAGTACTGCAGGGTTTCACAGCAGGTGTTGTTTTTCTATTAAATATTGCATTATATAAACTACAAATCATGGCATGTGGAATAAATAAAATAATTAAACTTAATGCAGATTTTAAAACTTTGACCGACATGTTTTGATCATGCAATGGTCAATTTTAAGAATTGGGGAAGGAAAATGTTGCAATACACTTTAAGGCATTTATTTTACTTACTTTGTCTCTATGTGTCGGTTCATTTCTCCTTAATTTACTAATAGTTAACATTAGATAAAATAAAAAATATTTGTCTTAGTAATCACCTGGGGAAATGTCATGGTAATATTTATACCCGATTCATCTAAAGGAGTCTGTTATAATGTGTACAGTGTGCTGCATTAATATTGCAGTGAATTGAAGTCCCCTTGTTTTCAGCTTTTCCTCCTGCTGTTCAGTTAGTGTCGTGCTGCTCAGGTGATGTCATCCTCTTAACAGAGATGTTTGTTTTACAATGCTTCACATCACTGCAGCTGCACAGAGGAAGCAGTTTACCAATCCTTCATTTGACCAAAACCTTAAACAGATGCTTTTTATATGATGGACGACGGAGAGCGATAGTTTGTTTTACACTTGACTTTTGAATGATTGAAAGATGGACTTCAGTCTGACTGCTGCCGTTTACCTCCTGGTCATCACACGCTACATGGTAAGTTTGCAACTATCAAAAGGAAATATTGTACAAAATCTGCAACAGTTACTATAAACCGTTATTTATGTATTTGGGAAATGTCCCTAAATTATAGTTAGAACAACCGTGGGTTACAGTGATGCAGGGGGATGAAAACATGTATTACCATGAGATACTGTGCATAACGTTTTGTAGAATGTAATGAAAACTAAGGTGAGCATCAATTCAATTAACCTGTTTTTTTTTTTGTGCCCATTTTTTTTTCTTTCTATCAGGCGATGTCAACTCATCCAGAGTGTTTAATTGTTCTTTATATACAAAATAAAGAAAATGAGTGTAAACTACAGATGAACACGGATGCTTCACTTCAGCCGAGTAATACAAGTGCAGGTAACTGATCCAGGGACACAAATAAATCAAGTTCAAAGCATAATAGAAAGATTTTCTCAGTGATTCTTTTGTATTTGAATGTTAAGGTTGTGTGACGGAGTGGGACGGAGTGAGTTGTTGGCCGTCTGCCTCTGAGGGACAGATGATCTCTGTCCACTGTCCTCTGCCCTTACTGAAGCCTGACACTCCTCCAGGTAAACGTTCTATATCACACACAGACACCATCAAGTCTGCAGAGTCTAGTTAACCTTTAAAAAGGGATTCTAACAAGAAAATGATAACATTTCAAAGACTGCGTCAATACTAGATGCAATAAAAAAAGTCAGTTAAAATGATGTTAAATGAATGAAACATACATTTAAAGACACATTTTCGGCATAAATGCTACTATAATTAAAATAACAATTATTCATCTGAATGTAAAGTCAAGGTGTCGGTCTGTTGTCTGAATACTGTCCTCCTTACTTTGCATGGGATAATTATAATAATGTTTATAAGAATATATTGTATGTCTATCTCCCCACACAATACCATATTATTAACTTACTTATTTAATTTATTTCAATAATCTAAAAGATATTTTGTGTTGCAGAAATATATACAATTCACAATTTCTCTCTTATGTAGTAATTTGATTCAGTTACCTACATCTAATAGCATAACAACAATGCTTCATTTCTTTCCAAGGATTGTTTTAGAAACAATTTTTTTTATTTAAGACTTTAACATCCTAAAGTATGCTGAAACGTTTCCCTCACAGTTCTCATCACGAGGCAGTGTACAGACCGAGGATGGAGTGAGCCCAGCGTGCCGTATTATACAGCCTGTTACTATGAAGGTGAAGAGGAAGAGGAAGATGGAGACATGGGCAAAGAGGTACAGTGGAGAGAGTTCAGCATGCCTTATGATCCGATTCAAATCCCTTTTGGCAGCAGGGAACCAGAGATTCAGTCCTTTAAGTCTCTGATTAATCAATATTTCATATTTCCCTCCAGAAAAACTACTTTGATACCCTGAGGTTGATCTACAGTGTCGGGTACGGAGCGTCTCTGGCTGCTCTCTTCATCGCTGTTCTGCTCTTCTGCTGCTTCAGGTTGCTTTATTTTCACATCATAACAACTTAAGAGTAAAATCTAGTAATTAAAATGTAATAACAAAATGTTTGTGACAATATGTCTCCTCTCAGGAGGCTGCTCTGCACGCGCAACTACATCCACCTCCACCTGTTTGCGAGCTTCATGCTGAGGAGTCTCGCTGTGTTCGTCAAAGATGTCGTGTTGTTTGCCGACAAAAGCACGGACCACTGCACCGTGTCCACAGTAAGAACAGTGGGGGGGTGGGGGTCAAATGAGGGCGTTTTATTTATGAAGAGTATTTTCATTATCGGCAAATGTGTCTTTGTGTCCTACATTTTGTAGTCATCTATACAAGATGATTATTGGTCAATCTGCCAATTGTTGTGTTTTTTGAGAAATTCAAAATGGCCATGAGCCCAAGATGACTTGATGTCTTATTTCGTCTGGGAAAAGTACAATCCCAAATGATTTTGTATGGCGCAAAAAACCCTCCTATTTCAAAAGTTTTAATCTGAAAATGTTTTGCATGTTTGCCCTTTTTTTATTCAGTAAATGACTGAAACGATAAGAATTATACAATTTGCCAAGAAGGTTTTTAAATAAAAAACAATTGACTCATAACAAATAACAAAGTAAGAGAGCAAGTACTGCAAACGCCTCCAAACATTCATATAAAATAGAGTACTTGACAATAGAAATATTATAAGGGTGCTAGAAATAAGTATGTGCAAAAGCTCACAGTGTAAAGTACGTAATGTATAAAGTATAATGTGCAATGTAAAGAGATCATTGTGAAAAAGATATGCATTAGTAACCAATTGAGATTTGAAGTGTACGTTACATTTTGTGAACGGGCGAAAAGTCTATCTCATAATAGATTCTAATCATTTTTTTGTCGATTGACTGATTGAAGTTGAGTTTGCATTTAAACGGGCCTACTCTAAACAATTAGATCATTGTTCATAACCATATCGCACTTAAAACCGACCTTGATGTACAACATATTAAAAAACACTTTCGTGCTTTAAAAGGTCTCCTGCAAAATGCAAAATACACTTTTTGATGTCCTTTATACATAAATATGTGTCCCTGACAATACAACCTTCTCTCTTTTCCTCCTTACCCACACCACACAACCCGTGAGAGAAAGCATTTGAGCTCCATACTGTTTCAGATATAATCCTTGATGTGGTTTGGAACATAATATGGCGTTTAATCATGGCAGCATTTAGCTGAGTATCTGGGTAGAATTCTCCTGCATGAGCTCTCGTCTCGGCTTTCTTTATTTATTTATTTAATCTACGGACCCAGAATCAGCATTTCTTTAACAGGGCTGAAATAGAGGGGTATGAGGCATGGCTAGAATGGGTGATCTGTTCGGTATTTTGAGCAAAACACTTTATAGACATGTTTTTGTATATATCTGAGACCTATGGTATATGCCTAAAAATAGTATAATAGGAGACCTTTAACACTTTTATGCTACAACAGAAGATTTATACGATACGATACGATAATACTTTATTGTTCAGATCAAGTCTGAAATTTGACTTGCATCACAGCAGCTCCATGTGTAACATCAACATAGACAAATGTCAAGACACAATACATGAAAAACAAACAACAAACATTTAACATAACAGCACTATCACTGAGAGAAAACATGCTCAATGACCCTTGGCGTGCATTTGATCTGGGATCAGCTCTGTATTTACTGTGAGGATTGACTGATGCACAAAGGAGTGCTTCAGTCTGACCTTATTGAATCGTGGGACCCTGTATCTCCCATTAAGATGGTAGCAGTTCATATTCACTGTTCAGAACTTGGTTTGGGTCAGAGATGGTGTTGTTGGACAGCCTCACTAGGTTATTATGGTATGCCGGGTCATAAAGTCTCTGACAGGGTTGACCAACAATCTTTGAGAAGATTTTTAACAGATACATTACATTAATGTAAGGCACAACTTTTCGAAGAATGATAAATGCTTTGATTTGAAACTGTTCTGTAATGTTAAACCCTTTATCTCTCCTCAGCTCTGGTGCAAAGCGGCTGTGACGTTCTTCCACTTCTGTGTTCTGTGTAACTTCTGCTGGCTGCTGGTGGAGGGTCTGTACCTGCAGAGCCTGCTGCTCTTCACCTTCTCTCACACCACCAAGCTCTTCAGGGTCTACGCCATCATCGGCTGGGGTTTGCAGTATTTAGATTTATACTGACTGTATTCATGTTTATCCACCTGTATTGCTGATTAAGGATCTGATTTTATAGGTACTCCCTCAGTGACTCTTGTAATCTGGGCCCTGCTGAAGAATCAGCTTGATGATGAGGGGTCAGTATTGTGCAAATATCTCTCAGATTTTCATATCATTATTTGATGTTAATGGAGGGTCATTTCTGTATGTGCAGGTGTTGGGATAACCTGGAGAGCCGCTTGTGGTGGATTATCAAGATTCCCATCCTGCTCTCCATCTTTGTAAGCACATGTTCAGCACACATATCTCCAGCAAGAACTACATTCTGGGATTGAACATTTCCTCTTTTAACGGTTTTCTTATAGCAGCTTGGAAGTGACAATATATCCCCAGAGGAAGCTTTCTTGCTTTCCTTTTTAAAGGGATAGCTCAATATTTTTGGGGAAATAAGGCTATATGCTTTAATCCCAAGAGTTACACGAAAAGATTGATACCACCTGTGGTGAAAGAAGCACTCTCTTTTACTTGCAGAATAAGTAGCAAAACTATAAGGTAAACATATTCTGTCCTTACTTAGGAATGCATTCAAACATCTGAGCATAAGGAAACTCAAAGTATTCATTATGCAGAATTATCAAAACTAATATGCCCATTCCAGAATAATATAGACTAACATTTTATGAATGAGTTGATGCGTTCATTCACTTTCACACTGCTGGAAGATTTTCTTAATATGCTGCCCAGTTACTTAAAGGTGGGGTATGTAATTTATTTCAGAAACACTTTTTGTTATATTCCATGGAATGCTCTTAACATCCCGATAGCAATGAATATATTAAATGCTTTGACAATAAATACATAAAAAATGTCATCTGTGGAAGCCGTAGCGCTGTAAAAAGCACGACCAATCATTTTAGCCGGCCCGGCTAAAATAACTGGATGGCCTACCTGCCTGTCAGCCTTCCATCTGTGCACAAACTTATCCCGTGCCCTCATTGGTCATGTGCGCGTTCGTGTGTGTTGGAGGAGGGGCTCTGTAAGGAAGTGGCAGATTTTTTCCGGTTGTGTACAGACAACAAACATGTACAGTTAAAAAAAAAACTAAATTAATAACGAGTGAGCTTTTGAGATTGATTGTTATATTTGGACATGATGCTTGCTGTTTCCCCCTTTTTCCTGTCTTTATGCTAAGCTAAGTGACTGGCTGCTAGCTGTAGCTTCATATTTATAGTAGGTTACCTGAAAGTGGGAACAATAATCTTATCAAACTCTCGGCCAAAAGTTTCACCCATACCTTTAATCAAATGTGTTGATTTGTCAGACTGATTTTTTAATGGACATATTGTTTTTCATGGATAAATTATTCCTACAGAAGACATTCAATATTAAACAAATGACCATCAAATTGGTGGTACATGTCTCATAATTTTAAAGAATTTAATCCAAAACAAAATGTACATTAAATGGTCTTCAACGTTTTGTCTTCAGTAATTGTAATGTTATTTAAAATGCCTGTTTCCTTGTTTCTTGTCTAACATTTTAATTCATGGTCAACTATGCGCATTTAGCTGCTGTAATGAAGAGTCATCTCAGACTTGAACTGAGGAAAGAGTAATATTGCATCGTGTATTGAGTCTGCAGTAACTGTGATAAAATACTCAACAGGTAAACCTCGGGATCTTCCTGAACATCAGCAGGATCATCGTTCAGAAGACAAAGGCCACACATGTGAACCAAAGTGACACCCGGCTGTACAGGTAACTCTCTCCACCCTCCCATCTCTCCTCTGTCAGTGTGTAAAGTGTCCTCTGCTGTCCTCTGTCAGTGTGTAAAGTGTCCTCTGCTGTCCTCTGTCAGTGTGTAAAGTGTCCTCTGCTGTCCTCTGTCAGTGTGTAAAGTGTCCTCTGCTGTCCTCTGTCAGTGGGTAAAGTGTCCTCTGCTGTCCTCTGTCAGTGTGTAAAGTGTCCTCTGCTGTCCTCTGTCAGTGGGTAAAGTGTCCTCTGCTGTCCTCTGTCAGTGTGTAAAGTGTCCTCTGCTGTCCTCTGTCAGTGTGTAAAGTGTCCTCTGCTGTCCTCTGTCAGTGGGTAAAGTGTCCTCTGCTGTCCTCTGTCAGTGTGTAAAGTGTCCTCTGCTGTCCTCTGTCAGTGGGTAAAGTGTCCTCTGCTGTCCTCTGTCAGTGGGTAAAGTGTCCTCTGCTGTCCTCTGTCAGTGTGTAAAGTGTCCTCTGCTGTCCTCTGTCAGTGGGTAAGTGTCCTCTGCTGTCCTCTGTCAGTGTGTAAAGTGTCCTCTGCTGTCCTCTGTCAGTGTGTAAATTGTCCTCTGCTGTCCTCTGTCAGTGTGTAAAGTATCCTCTGCTGTCCTCTGTCAGTGTGTAAATTGTCCTCTGCTGTCCTCTGTCAGTGTGTAAAGTGTCCTCTGCTGTCCTCTGTCAGTGTGTAAAGTGTCCTCTGCTGTCCTCTGTCAGTGTGTAAATTGTCCTCTGCTGTCCTCTGTCAGTGTGTAAAGTATCCTCTGCTGTCCTCTGTCAGTGTGTAAATTGTCCTCTGCTGTCCTCTGTCAGTGTGTAAAGTGTCCTCTGCTGTCCTCTGTCAGTGTGTAAAGTATCCTCTGCTGTCCTCTACAGGACGCTGCTGCGCTCCACCCTGCTGCTCATCCCTCTGTTCGGGGTTCACTACGTGGTGTTTGCTCTGATCCCAGAACATCTGGGCGTGGGGCCTCGACTCTACTTTGAGTTAGTTTTAGGCTCCTTCCAGGTAACAGATCTATTATATAAATCTATTCAACAATACTGTATCTGTGGACTATTGGTAAAAGACATTTGGGCTGCAACTAATGATCGTTTTTGTTGCCTGAATTGTTTTTCTGATTATTGTTTTGATTAAAGTTTGGTCTAAAAAAGACAAAATGTATTTGATAATCTTTTTCTGAAAAAATTATTAACTGTCATATCAACAGCAACAAACAAATGTTAACATTTGGTATGAATTAATACATGCAACATCACTTTCCTAACTTTTGTTTCCTGTTACTCCAGGGTTTTATTGTTGCTCTGCTGTACTGCTATCTAAATGGAGAGGTAAGATAAGTTTGTATGAAACTAAAATCTCAACTATACTGTACAACTCAATCAGTGTCAGAATGAACAGCATTAGATCCTTTTTTATCTTTCAGGTCCAAAAAGAAATCCAGAGGACGCTGAGAAGATGGTGGCCTAACACAGAAACTAACGCCATCAATCTTCCAACACAAGAATATGTCCCCTGAAGTAAAAATATATTGTACGTTGTTTGGTGCTTATTAGTTCTCCGTTTTTGAAAAAGTCTCTTTGCTATCCAACCACATAAACCATTTATTATTTCACCTTAACATTATCTGTCTCTTTTTTTTATTTTATAAAATGCTGCTTAATTCATATTAAATTAATTGGATATAGACTATAGAGCAGGGGTGGGGAACCTAAGGCCTCCGGTCCGTATACGGTCCGCAAGACCATTTGATACGGCCCTCGAGGTAATTTATAAACACACGCAAAAATTAAAGAAATCTAGACCGCAAAAAAATTAAACAAGCGAGTGCCTGTTTTTCCTGGCCAAGGTCAGGGTCCTTGAACACAACACGAGCCTAACGTGTCATCACGTGGTTTATGTCTCGTCTGACAGGGGTGCAGTTCTATTTCGTATATGGCTTCGCCCTCTAAGGCTATCGCTATTGGGTAATTCCCCTGCGCACCCGCGCAGCACTGAAACACTTGTAGTCCATGCCCACCCGCAAGGTGGGCCCCACCCTCGGGCTCCCTTCCGGTATAAATAGGAAGGAGGCCCGACAATCTGCTCCCTCTTTTCTTCAGCACCCCGTTACTGAAGCACAAGAGACACTTCAATTACAGAGTAATCATGACTAGCAATTGTGTGAGAGATTGTCCCTCATGTGGCTCTGGATATATCATGAGCTACGACCAGCACACGATATGCGAATCCTGCCTGGGGTCAGAGCACGCGTACGTGGCTCTCAGCCAGCAGGTCGCATGCACACACTGTGCCCGTCTCCCCTTGGACGACAGGAAGCGAAGAGCGGACGCTCTCGCTGCTGCGGCCGAGGACGACGATTGGCCCGTCCAGGCTTTCGAGCCTGTGGACGGCAGCCTCATGTCCCTGGAGCCGAGTGCCGGGCAGGAGTCGGACGACTCCTACCCCGCCTCCCTCCACGGTTCACCGTGCGGTTCTCCCCTCCCTCCTCTCCCCCGGACGGGGGAGACAGAGCCGGAGCAGGGTGCCGGCTTGGCGGCCGAGCACGCGGTCCCCTTCTCCGTCACCACGGCGCTGCCGGCGATAGGTGGCATACTGGGGGAACTGCCGGAGATCATATGCAAGGCGGCCGCCTGCAGAGGTCTCCCCGTTCCCCTAGCTCAGGAGAGGTGTGCTCCGGACGACATGGCCGGAGTTTTTTCGCGGGTGCAGACGGTCAGGAGTGATCCGGTCTGGCCACGCTTCCCCACCATCAGGGGGTACCAGGAGGGGGCGGCGGCGAACCCGAGGACCCTGAAGGCTCCGGTGGCCACATTTGTTCCCCACACCAAGGTGGAGGGGTTCACAGATGCTGGTTTCCCAGCCATCCCTTCTCTGGAGCCGAGCCAAGACAGGCCAACATGATCGCCGGACGGTGCCCTACGTTGACCGCCCCCAGAGACCAGTATGTCGCCCGCCAGGCCGACCGGGTGCACCAGTGTGCCTTTCAGGTGTCGGCGGCGGCGAATAACCTCGCGCTGCTCTCCAACTCGGTGGTGACCCTGGTAGAGCGGTCCACCACCTTGGCCGCTGACGAGGCAGAGGAGATCAGCAAGGCGGCCAGCACAGCGCTCACTCTGTGCGCGTCCGTCGCTGTCTCCCAGGCGAGGATTGCCGCGTGGGTGACACAGATCCAGCGCCACCTCTGGCTGCAGCAGGCGTCCGTTACGGAGACGGCCAGAAAAGTGCTGCTGGACGCTCCAATCAGCCCGGACGGGCTGTTCGGACACCAGTTCCACGCTATGGTGGAGTCCATGAAGACGGCGGCGGAACAGGCGGACGACATTCGCCAGCATGTCAGCTGGCTCCAGCCTGCTGGGCGCCCACAGCGGCACCAACGCCCGCAGCAGCCGCAGCGTCCACACCGGCCACAGCGGCCGCAAGCGGAGAGACGCCCACAGCAACCACCTCGGCGTCAGGCTCGCCCTTCGGCGGCTGCAGGGGCTCCGTCCCACGTCTCCGCTCCCCCGCCACCCCAGTGACAGGGTCTCCCGGTGGCGAGGCAAAGGGAAGTGAGGCTCCCCCGCTCCTGGTCTGCTCCGCGAGAGCCTCCGAGGAAGCAGAGCCGGTTCTGACGTTTTGGGGGGTTGTGAGTAAAATAAAGTGTGTTCATTTTCCAACTTTTTGTCTGAGTCATCAGTAACAAGTGTTTCTCACATATCCCCCACTCTGTGTAAACCGGCTGCCACTAATCTGTTGATTAGTAGACAGCAGGGCTCGCTGCAGAAGCCTGCCGGTTTTAACCTAACGGTTAATAAACTGCAGAGCTCGCGGCATTCCTCTGTCCGAGATACGCCTCCTACACACGGTCATAATAAACCCATGAGCGCCGTTATAACGCCTTGTGTGGACAGCACTGCACCCACCTCCATTCATCCCCTGAGCGTGTACACGCCTCATGATGAGAGCCGGAGTGAAACGTAGCGTGTGGAGGCTCCCTCACAGCCCTTTCGCTCCAGGCCCACCTTGGGTTGCCTCACGGGCAGCGGCGGCGAGGGCTCTGACGTGGCTCGTCGCCATGACGACCACAACACATCTCGAGCATGTGCGCCCGCTCTCAGAGTGTTTCTCAGAGTGGCAGCACATGTGTCTGATGGACAGATGGATGAGCAGGCTGATCAAGCAGAGGGTACACCCTGCAGTTCGCCTCTTCCCCCCCCACAGTTCAATGGGATACAAGAAACACTCCTGTCATCCCAGGAACAGTGTCTTGCGCTCCATTCAGAGCTGCAAGAACTCCTGTTGAAAGAGGCTATTTCCAGGGTTCCTCAAAGGGAGGAAAATCAGGGGGTTTTACTCCCGTTATTTTTCTAATCCCGAAAAAGACTGGGGGAATGAGACCCATCCTCGATCTGTCAGTATTCCACATGCTGACGATCAAACAGGTGCTGGAATGTGTTCACCAGGACGACTGGTTCATTTCCATAAACCTGAAGCATGCATACCCATCATCCCGAAACACAGGAAATCCCTGCGTTTCTCATTTCAGGGAATATTAGACCAGACAATCGTCTGCCGTTCAGATATTCCCTGGCTCCTCGCACATTTTCAAGGTGTGTAGAGAAGGCTGGAGCCACTACACAGAGGAGGGATGAGAGTGTGGTTTTATCTGGACGACCTGCTATTGCGGGCTCGCTCCAGGGAGGAAGTTGCTTTACAGATGTTACATCTCGTATCGCATCTGTCAAAGCCTGGGTTTTTTCATACATTGGAAGAAGATCTGTCCTCTTCCCTCTCAGACAATCATTTATCTGAGAGTGGAATTAAACTCAGCCAGCATGAGAGCGCGGTTCTCGCGGTTCTCGCGGCAGAGAGTGGAGAAACTGACAGCTCTCCTCCGGCGTGTCACATCCCGCAGCGTGGTGACAGCCCTCTCCGTGATACAGCTGCTCAGCATGACGTCAGCTGGTCACGTGGTGATCCCCCTGGGTCTCCCCCACAGGAGGAGACTCCAGAGGTGGTTCATTCGCCTGCGCATCGACCCCGTGCGTCAGAGGTAAATGTGCTGGAGCTGCTCTCCGTTTTGGGGAGTATTCCAGCACTTCGCCCCGTTGCTGTACAATCAAACATGTGTTGATTCGCACAGACAACAGGTCACGGCAGCCTACCTCAATCGCCAGGGAGGAGTACGATCTGCGCAGCTTCTGAACGCAGCCAGGCGGCTGCTATTCTGGGCGCGCACACACGTTGCTCTCCATCAGAGCAATGTATATTCCCGGCGAATTGAACAGAGGGGCTCGCACTGGTTCCCGGACTGAGTGCGGGAGAAGCGGCTATCAGCGGTCCTGATAGCCCCGGAGCGCACGGGAGCGTCCTGGTTTCCATGCCTACGCTGTCAGGCAGACCGTGGGAAGTTCCGTGGCGCTGGGGCGCTCTCTCCCAGGCGGAGGGAGCGATCAGCAGCCACCCAGCCGTTTTATGCGAGGAGTACGGAGACTCAGACCTGTGTCACGCACACTGGCGCCTCAGTGGGATTTGGCTTTGGTGTTACGCGCACTAAGCAAAGCCCCATTTGAACCTTTAGATCAGGTTCCCCTTAAACTGTTATCAGCCAAAGTAGTATTACTTTTGGCTCTATCAGCGAAAAGGGTGAGTGATTTGTCTGCGCTCTCTGTGGCTCCGTCATGTCTCCGGTCCCAAGGAGATGGCAGTTCAGCTGTTTTACGCCCTAACCCGGCTTTTATGCCAAAGGTCATCATGAGCTCTTTTAGGTCAAGAGTGATCACCTTGGATGGCTTCTTTCCTCCCCCTCACAGGTCGGAGGAGGAAGCCACATCTCATCTCCTCTGTCCCGTGCGCGCGCTGTCCTGCTATGTGGCGCGCACAGCTGCTTTGCGCCGTTCCCAGCGCCTGTTTGTGCATTACAGAGAGCGCTCATTCGGGCAGCCTCTGTCTGCACAACGGCTGTCACACTGGCTGTGTGAGGCTGTGTCGCAGGCATATGTCTCCTATGGGGTGGATCCCCCGGGGAACATCAGTGCGCACTCCACCAGAGGAATTTCCTCCTCCGCGGCTTTGCACGGAGGAATGTCGGTGGAACACATTTGCACTGCTGCATCTTGGTCTTCCCCCTGTTCATTTAATACATTTTATTTGAGGGATGTCTCCCATTCCTCTCTAACACACCCTGTACTGAGTGTCCTGTCAGAGTGAGTGACGTCAGGGACCCAGCTGTGCGCCTCTCTCCTGCCTCTCGGCACGCGGAGAGCGGCCCTTTTTCCCTCTTGTGAGAGGGATGTTTCCTTTTTTCCTCTGACACATTTTGTACGGAGTGTCTTGTCAGAGTGAGTGATGTCAGGGATCCAGCTGTGCGCTCTCCTGCCTGTCTACACGCAGAGAGCTGCCTTTGTTCCCCCCTTTTGTTTATCGCTGGACAAAGTGTGACCTTAGTCTCTACTTTTTCACAGCGGCAGGTTTGTATTGTTCCCAGCCTTCGTCCCCTCATGGAGAATATTCATGTTATGCTATATTCCAGGGACTGTGATGCGCCATTCGCATGGCGCAATAGGCATGGGTTGTTATCTGAGCAGTACCGGGCAGACCCAGTGGGGCGCAGACTACATCTT